GTTTTTATCCCCTCTCCATTCCCCCAAATTTTATTTAGCAAGGACACATGGCCAGGGCTGAGGTGGGGAGATCCCACTCGATGACATACTGGAATCTCCCGTATGCAAGATTTTCCTTGGAAGGAAAGCGACCGAGAAAGCCCAGGGGGAGGAGCAGAACCAGCCTGCTGGTGTGAAATCCACAGGGCTGACGGAAAATCGATTTGATTGAACCGAAAAAGTAGGTCAGAAATTGAAAGAAGGAGCGGGCCAGGATGTGAGTGTGGGTAAGTTGGCAGAGGTCAAGCCCAAGTACCTGACCACCTGGCAATGGAATAGGAACTAGGATGGGAATTACAGAGAACTTTAGAGAGAGTTCCCATTCCAAAGGGGGAAATGACTTCTTGGAGGAAACAGAGGAAAAAGCTCTATCCCTCTAAGACTAAGTGGGTGGATCAGGGCTGCACAAGCCATTAAACACCTACCCCGCACTCCCTGAGCTAAGGGAGTGAGCCACTGTGCTCCCGGCTGGCGGAGAAGGGCCTCTTTTGCTCCGCCTGCACCGTGCATCCAGAAGCATTTAGGAAGTAAGGCCAGGGTCCCAAACTAGGCCAGAGCAATTTACAGCGATTTTGTAAATTGAAGAGACATTTGGCAAATTGCTCAAGTTCCTCAGCCAGGCAGGGGGCTTGTGACCCATAGCAGATGACAGCAGGGGACAACTGGCACCAACCCTTGGAAGTGGCAGTTTCTTTGGTCAACAGTTGTTACATGCTCACAGTAGAGGGAAGTACAGGGAGGGCTGCTGGTCCTCCTGGAGTGGTGGCTTTGCTCTGGTCATGAGACCAAAGCGGTCGCGGGGGGGGGGGGGGGGGAGGGGGGGGGGGGGGGGCGGGGGGTGGTGTGGGGGGGGGGGGGGGGGGGCGCTCAATGGTCCTTTCGCCTTGTGCATTAACTGCTTCTGCTTATGAAACAAAAGCCAAAAATGCACATTTGTGTTATCAGGCAGTTGAAATATAAACAGCCCTAAATGGTTGTAAGGGCCGGAGGGGAGGAGGGCTGTTTGCCAACGTATAGGGAGCAGAGCAGACCAAGTGTGCTTAACCAGCAAGCTGCTCCTGTAAATATTTGCAAATGCCCCTTCAGAGCTCAAAAGCCTAGGACAGGATCATTGGATGATTTGCTTAGAAGAAGAAGAAACAAAACTGACCTCATGGTCCGAGGCAGCCATAAAAAGAAAGAGTGTGGATGGGCAGAGGACCAGAAAGGGGGGGGCAGGCTCGTTCAAAGTTTAATAAACACAAAAGAGAATAAAAATAAATCTCCAGAGTACTTATTTACAAACTTGATGGAAGGATAAGATTGAGGCTAGGAGCGTGGGTGTGAAAGATGGGTGTTTGTGGAAGTGGGGGAGGCCCGCAGGGTGTTTCATTGAAGGAGAAAGGAGAGGTGAACGAGACGTTTATTCTTCCTAATGACAGGAAACGCACTCAATTAGCTTTGTGC